AGATAGCTACTGCCGTCAAGCAGATGAAAAATAACAAAGCCTCAGGGCCTGATGGAATCCCAGACGAGGTGCATAAAGCAGGAGGACCTCTGCTTACTAGCCGTCTCCAGTTTCGCCTGGAGAATATATTGGAAAAGGAGGAAATCCCCCAAGATCTTAAAGACGCTTCCCTCATCAATATTTATAAGAACAAGGGAGACCTGTCAAATTGTGGCAACTACCGCGGGATCTCGCTGCTGTCGGTAGCTGGGAAGATTATCGCCGGAGTCCTCCTAAACAGACTACTACCTGAAGCGGAAAACTTCCTGGCAAGCCAGCGGACCCGGGTTCGATCCCGGGCAGGGTGAAACTTTGAGCAAGTTTCTTTATGCCATTTGCCTCTGTCTTTCCAACTGTAATTGGGGACCTGGCTGTTAATGGATTTGCGGATTGTGTTCCGGGGTAATCGATAGTCGGTACAGTTGGCGAGTTGTCCGGTCGTGCAAATTGTTAACTCAGGGTGCGGTAGTTGTGTTGGCAACAGCTTTTACACCTTTAACAATTTTACGCCTAGGTGGCCCTTGGGCCGGCCATCCTCGTTACACGATGGGCAGCCATTATGTATGTATGTATGTGTAATTGAGGGGGGGGGGGGTTTGTAGTGATGGGTTGTCAGACCACAGCTTGCATCTCAGAGACAGTCCAGACTTGACCCGACATTAGGGAGGTCAAGTGTAGGGTAACTCTCACGGCTGACCAAGGGTTATAAATCAGCCAGGCTCCCCTCCCATGTCACACATGTAAGGGGTCACCGGCCGGCTCTCTCCCAATATACAAAATGGCCTTCACCGCAGAAGAAGTCCAGACCTGACCCTACATTAGCGAGGGCAAATGTAAGGAGACCCTTCGCCGCCCCCCCCCCCCCAATCGGCTCAACCTGACGGCTCGCCTCCCAATATATAGGACGTCTTAGTCCTCCCTCTGGCAGAGAGAGGCAGAGAGAGACAGAGAGAGAGTGTGTCTTGTAACCAAGAAGGGCCAGCTACCACGTCCCGAGTCCTGCTCGAGAGAAGTCAGGGGCCGGAGGCAAGCCGCCTCCGGTCGCCTCCGGTCAGGACCGAGACTTCCCTCCGGCGCCCAGCTAAGCAGTCTCCCATAGAGACAACCCAGGACTACCTGCTAGGCCTCCCCTAGGTCACGTGAGTGTTTGTCAGAGCTTTCCATGGGATGAGTTACTTACGTGGGAAGTGTATTCATTTCATGTTCGTGTCCGAGAATCAGAGTGTCTAGTAACGTAATATGATGACCTAGTAACGTAAACATAATGTCCTAGTAACTTCAATAGAAGGTGTTATTAATGTGTCCATGTCATGTTCGTAATTAATAAAAAGTTGTAACGAAGCAGTGTTTGAGAAGTCGCCTTTAAGACGTAAGATAAGTGTATTGACAGTGTAAATAACTATCACGGCCACGCTACCAAAATCTTCCTCTCTTTATACTCTCTTACTAAATATTCTTCCTATATATATATGTAATCTTCTTCTTGTGAATATTTTGTAACATTACAGGTTAAAGGTAGAAGTATAAATAAAATATTTAGTTGTAGGATGTAAAGAGAGGAAGTTTGGTAGCGTGGCCGATTCGTTACTTTCACTTATATTACGTTCTTGGGGGACATCTCCTCAAAAACCATTTTCAATACAACTATTTATTAATTAATTCAATGGCATGGACACATAAATATCACATTATATCGAAGTTACTAGAACATTATATTTACGTTACTAGACACTGACTCTCGGACACAAACATGAAATGAATACACTTCCCATCGTAAGTAACTCACCCTGTGGTTAACTCTGACAAAGACTCACGTGACCTGAGGGAGGCCCAGCGGGTAGTGCTGGACTATGTCTCCTATGGGAGACTCTGCTAGCTGGTGACGCGGGGGTCGGGAGTGAAGTTTCCCTCCCGACCTGAGGGAGGACGAGCGTGACTCTGTCCTCTGCCGATAGTGACGTGAGAGTTGTCTCAATGGAACCTGAATCAGGAATCTAATGACAAAATGCCAAGAATTCCCCGTGGACGGGACTGCTGGGCCTTTATATGGAGGAGAACCAGCCGGCGAATGACCTCTTGGCAAGATGTGGTTGTAGGTCATATCACCCGGCTAACTCTAAGTAATTAGTGGCCGAGGTCAGGTCTCCTGGGACTGTAGGGTGTGTCAACTTGGTATGTGGGTTACCACGAGGGCATCTACTTACTGTTATATGTGTTGTAATTCTCTGGGCTGCAAGCTGTGGTATGATAAACAATCATTACAATGTATGTTTGTATGTATGTATGTGTGTAATAATAATAATTAACGGTTTATTTAAAGACTGGTGGAGAAAGTTTTCATATTGCCAAATTGACTTGTATCTATGGCGCATGCAATATCAACATAAGCCCAGTCAAAAACTAGACTTTCGCAGATTAAGCTCTGTGTGTGTGCACATTCGTGCGTGTGTGTGGCGTGCGTGCGAGCGTGTATTAATAATAATAATAATAATAATAACAATAATTAATAATTAACGGTTTATTGAAAAAGGCGGCAGTCCGAAGGCTGAAAATATACATTGGACAAAAATGACTTATTACATACAAAGACATGGGGTAGGTGGGTCGTTTAACAAAAGCTTTCATTACTGAAAGGAGAAGGAACAATGATTGAACATACAAATTATTATAGTTTACAGTTGATGGCCCGGGCCTGGACTGGTCATGGTGTTAAATCTGAGTGGGGCCGTGTAACCAGTGGGGTTGCCCAGGGGTCAGTACTAGGCCCACTATTGTTCATAATCTACATAAACGATCTAGATACTGGGATCAGCAGTGACATAAGCAAGTTTGCGGATGACACCAAAATAGGGCGGATCTAAATAAACTGCAGGGGTGGTCTGAAAAATGGCAAATGAAATTCAACACCAGCAAGTGCAGCGTACTTAATATTGGAAGAACAAATACTTATAATGTATACAGCCTTAACAACATCAACCTAGAGAAGTCGACTTGTGAAAGAGACCTAGGGGTACTTGTAAGCCCGGACCTACGGCCTAGAAAACAGTGCGTTAATGTTCGAAATAAGGCAAACAGAGTATTGGGTTTTATATCTAGAAGTGTAAGTAACAAGAGTGCAGAGGTCTTATTGCTACTATATCTTGCGCTAGTCAGGCCGCACCTCGATTATGCGGTTCAGTTCTGGTGCCCTTATCATAGAATGGATATCAATTCACTAGAGTCGGTGCAGCGAAGAATGACGAAAATGATTCCGGGACTTAGAAACCTTCCATATCAGGATAGGTTAAAGAAACTTAACTTGCATTCCCTAGAAAGACGAAGAGTGCGGGGAGATATGATAGAAGTATTCAAGTGGGTGAAAGGAATCAATAAAGGGGATATAGATAAAGTTCTTATAATATCCGAGCAGGATAGGACTCGGAGCAACGGATTTAAGTTGGATAAGTTTAGGTTTAGGAGGGAGATAGGAAGAAACTGGTTCACAAATAGGGTGGTGGACGAGTGGAATAAGCTTAGCAACTTTGTAGTAAGTGCTGGAAAGTTTTAAAAGGAGGCTAGATAGATTCATGGATGATAGAGAGTGGTAAAACTCTCGACAGGAGCTGCCATGCACAGGCCAACCGGCCTATTGCAGACTCCTTATTTTCTTATGTTCTTATATCCTGACAACGGGGATTAATTATTATGACCCATTGTAAACTCTACTCTGTAATCCTTTTGCGCTACCGCTCACAGGATGAGTGTGGGGTGCACAATAAAGTAGCCGCTGTAAGCGGCAAAATCAAAATCAATGGCTGCTCCCAGTGGGGCGCCAGGTACGTCTTGACCCTTCGGTGGTCAAGGATGTAGTATATGTATGTATGTAATAATAATAATAATATTAATAATAATAATAATAATAATAATAATAATAATAATAATAATAATATTAATAATATTAATAATTAACGGTTTATTGAAAGAGCATAGCAGCCAGAAGGCTGAAAATATACAGTTACATAATTGGGGAATGGGTTTCGATTTACAAATAATATACAAGAAACATAAGTGATATAAATAAGATGTATAATAACTAGATGGGGAAAAGCTCAAACTACAGGGCATTTCAACCTAGTGACAGTGCAAGGAGTAGTGTTTACTGGGAGTGAATACACTGGTTTATTACAAGTTATTGATAATTTTTACAATGGTTGGGACTGGGCTGTTCTTATAGAGATCAGTTCGTGCACGTATGGGCTGGATGCGGTTGTGGTGTCGAACAGCAATTCTCGGGCTAGGGATCTCAGGTGGTAGTAGGAGCCGGTGTCAAGGATGGTGCAGAAGCTTCTTACCAAATTTGCCGATGAGGTCGTGGTGCTGGTCAGAGAGAGCCGAGAGGGTCAGTGTGTTGAGTGCTTCTTGATATGTGGAGTAGGAAGGGGAGAGAATAATCTTGCATGCCCTCTTTTGCACTTTTTCTAGGTGTTTACGTTTGTGGCATTTAGGGAGGAAGACCAAGTGGAGGAGGCATAGGTGAGCTTGGGAAGTATGAATGTTGAGTAAACACTGAGGAGTTCGGACGCAGGAACTCCAAGGGACTTGAGTCGGCGGAGGAGGTGGAGACGGAAACTGGAGGACTTGACAACGTCACTGTATGTATGTATGTATATATGTATGTATGTAATAATAATAATAATTAACGATTATTTTAAAGAGCGGTGGAGAAAGTTTTCATATTGCCAAATTGCTTAGGATCTATGGCGCCTGCAATATCAGCATAAACCCAGTCAAAAATAAAAATTTGCAGATTAAGCTGTGTGTGTGTGTGTGGGCGTTCGTGCGTGTGTGTGGCGTGCGTGTGGCGTGCGTGCGAGCATGTTTCCTTCCGTGCGTGCGTGCGTGCTTAAATTGGTTATAGAATACGACATGAAAGCAGAATATTGTTGCTCAATCAATAATCTCTCGATTTAGAAACACCAAAATCCCTTGAAAATATATATTTTTTTCAATCACAAATATTACCAAGTATCGCCTGTGAACTACCTTACAGCCACTAACCACACTGTTACCTTGTTCATGTTAATGAAAGTGGGATTGACTGCATCTTAAGATAGCAAAAGACAAAAGAATTCCTCATATTTAACCTTAGATGACCTGGTACTGTGAACATGGCTGTAAATTCAAATAATTATTAAAGTTTCCAGATTTAATAGAACTAGCATGTTTCAGTTCGATCAACATACTGTAAGAGTAAAAAGTTGACTCTCACTCATAACTGACTGATGATAAAAGCTTAACAGTAAAGTTGAAGTAAAAAGGTGGTGTTGTTGGTCCACTACACAGGAGAACAAGTTATGCCACATAGAGCGAAGGACCAGGAAAGGCAGCAGCAGGGTGAGGGTGGAGGAGGCGTCTTAAGGGTCTTGGGAGTTGCAGAGATTTCCATCACAAAAGTAGCCATGAAATCTGGCAATTTTGCCCTGAAATCCTGTTCTTGTCTGGGTGGGACCAGAGTCGTCAGGGGTTCGTGACGTGATAGACATGCCCTCTGCAAGAAAGAAAAAAAATTGTTGGTGAAGATTCGGAGTATCAAAATCGCATAAATTCTGTGTGTGTGTGTGTGTGTGTGTGTGTGTGTGTGTGTGTGTGTGTGTGTGTGTGTGTGTGTGTGTGTGTGTGTGTGTGTGTGTGTGTGTGTGTGTGTGTGTGTGTGTGTGTGTGTGTGTGTGTGTGTGTGTGTGTGTGTGTGTGTGTGTGTGTGTGTGTGTGTGTGTGTGTGTGTGTGTGTGTGTGTGTGTGTGTGTGTGTGTGTGTGTGTGTGTGTGTGTGTGTGTGTGTGTGTGTGTGTGTGTGTGTGTGTGTGTGTGTGTGTGTGTGTGTGTGTGTGTGTGTGTGTGTGTGTGTGTGTGTGTGTGTGTGTGTGTGTGTGTGTGTGTGTGTGTGTGTGTGTGTAAAATATTTATATGCAGCCAAGGAGAATCATCCCAGGTTTCACTTTATCTCTGTATTTCCGTTTTTATAGGCTCCAGAGACAGCCAGAGGTGGCATCCAATATTTACTAAAGGCATTTACACACACTGTTGTAGCAACCCCACTGTCCAACACAGTTACAGTATCTTATTCTGAACTGCCCGCGAAGCTGTATACTGCGCCTTCGTACTCTCTCTCTCTCTCTCTCTCTCTCTCTCTCTCTCTCTCACAGTAATTACTCTATTAACAGTATCACAAAAAAACGAAAAGTTGTATATTTCCTGTAATTTAACCTAAAAATCTATAACAATAATAGTGATAATAAAGACCATAAGGTTAGACTTCCCCATTACCTTCCACTATTACAGGCGTTCATCTCCTTCTCTCCTGGTTATATTATTCACTTTCAGTCTCTCCAAGTACTTTAACGTGCGGCCATAAAGCTTACCCGACACAAAAATGACAATGGTGTGGATTTCTAACCGAGACCACTTACTTTATTCACCAACACTTTCCTTCTTTCGGGATCTACTGGGAAGCTGTGCATTTTAAATCCCTTATCTGACCTATTACTGCGTCCGAATACCAAATATCCCGGTATAATGTAAAGAAAAATCACTCGACCATCCATCCAAGGTAATGGTCAGATGGTAACTGATATGCACGGTAGACATGTAAATGACGTCCAGTGATCATGCCACCATATTTTCCGAGACTCTCAATGTTGTTTCTTTCAGCATATAGCGATTCCAGTGTGGCTGCCATACTTGCTATATTAAAATAACTGAAATATATATAAAACAAATCAGACGAACTCATTTGAATATACTAAGGGTAAAATATTGCTAGGAAAGGGAACAAGTGATGGGCGTTAAGTTGCAAGTATCAACAAGAGTTAGAGATCAAATGTAGATTAATGCAATGGAATGCAAGGGGTCTGTCCCAGTAGATTACTGTCAATGTTTACTGTATGTAGCAGCCATTGAGAAAATGGAAGAGGAGGGGTAGTAAATTTTGGACGACGTGAACTAATGCAGTGAAATCATCTGTGTAGGAGATAGCGATGGTGACGAGAAGGTATATGGGATGTGGGTAAGGAATGAGTACCAGGAGCAAATAGAGCTGGGGAGGTTTGTTAGTATCAGACAGAAAAAATGAGTAACGTACAACTGAAGACAGCTGGTGAAACTAACAAGAAAAAAAACATATACTTACCGTATGTTTGAATGATAGCCATGCACGAGGGTTCGTTAACATTGGTTGAATTTTCTGTCAGCAGTTGTGAAGCATCAAAGTCTTCTGAAGTACAGGCAGGGTTGTTGTAGACTTGGTCGTAAGGGAGTAATGAGTTGAAGCCCATACACAAATAGCACTGGAGAGCGGAACCTGTATGTGTGGAGGATGATGTAAACACAATCTCTCTCTCTCTCTCTCTCTCTCTCTCTCTCTCTCTCTCTCTCTCTCTATATATATATATATATATATATATATATATATATATATATATATATATATATATATATATATATATATATATAAGAAACCAAGTAATCTGTTCGTTAGTGTATATAAACATATTAATTAGGTTTATTTATAACAGGTGTACAGGTCCAGAATAATGAACTTTCGTACCTATTCAGAACCTGTCAGAAATTACTGCCTTCCGTCTAACATTGTCCCACAAAGATGTAAAAGATATATAAAGATATACTGTAGATGGATAGGCAAAGTAGGTAAGAGAGAGAGAGAGAGAGAGAGAGAGAGGACGACTTACCTGTGTGAATAATACACAGGGTCACCAGCAGGAGGGAGACAGCGGCCTTCAGAGTCATCTTGGTCAAGTTCAGGTTAACACACTGTAGAAAGAGAACCGTCTGTCGTTACAATGTTATCTCCGCCAAATTCTATTGACTTTTTGAATATCCAAATTAATGTTACTATTCATTAAACCTCCAAACACCTTTAAAATCTGTTGAACCTCCGAATATAGTGAAGAAGCTTTACCCTACTAAACCTCACAAAATTTCGTTAGATATTGGTAAACCTTCAAAACTAACCGACGTTCTAAGAATCATTAAACCTACTTGAATCTTCAACTTCGTGTTAATTTTCATGCCTCGTTGAAGTTCCAACTGTCGTTAAAATTTGGTAAACCTCCAAATACTAAAAAAAAATAATTGGACTTCCAAATATCGGTACAAATTCTGAACCTCCAATTATCTCTGAAGCTCTTTCAACTTCTGTCTCGACATGAAAACTCCCGCTAACTTAAAAAATAGTGACGTTAACTTCTAAATAGCTCCTTTAATATAAAATAAAGCACCATTAACTATAGCCCCTTTAATTAAGAAACTAGCCCCATCAACTTAAAACGTATAACTCTTCTCTTCCCATTAACTTCAAAAACAACATCTGTTATAAAAAATAATCCTTAATCTTAACCTTGATATAGCTGTGTCAACTTTACCCCAAAAAAGTCCCGGTGGCCATTTTTCCTTTATTTTACGAGGTTAGGTTAGGTTCTGATGAGATTGGCGTGTCTTACCTGTATGGGCGAGAAGTTGTAATGAACATAACTCTGCGACAGGTAGACTTTTAAAGCTGGCAGCCACGGTCACCTGGGTGGTCACATAACTTTTTCAATGACCCACAAGTGTGATAACCCATTCATTGTGTATAGAATTTTGATCTCTGTTGGTTAGACAAAAACCCACAAATCTGTCAATTCATCCGGAAGTGAACCAGCTGACGCCATCACAGTCTGAGTTGCTTTTAGGCAAGTCAGCTGTTCTTGATGATGATGAAATAATTGTCATTTTTGGTTCACAATACTGGAAACCTTATTACCAATCCCAGTATACTGAACCTGTAGGAGAAGTTCTGGTCTACTAATAATATTACTTCTTGTATGGAGTTCTTTTGTTTTTCCTTGTGTGATATTGTTCAGTTTTGGAGTATAATGAGCTGAGTGGGTCTTGGTTCATAATGAGCTGAGTGGGGTCTTGGATCATTATGAGCTGAGTGGGGTCTTGGATCATTATGAGCTGAGTGGGGTCTTGGATCATTCATTATGAGCTGAGTGAGGTCTTGGATCATTATGAGCTGAGTGGGGTCATGGATCATTATGAGCTGAGTGGGGTCTTGGATCATTATGAGCTGAGTGGGGTCTTGGATCATTACGAGCTGAGTGGGGTCTTGGATCATTACGAGCTGAGTGGGGTTTTGGATCATTATGAGCTGAGTGGGGTCTTGGATCATTATAAATTGAGTGAGTCTTCTTATCTACGATATTTTCTTTGTTAAAGGACATAAGGACTTTTACATTGATGGGAATATGTGTAGATAAGACCAGTTACGGTACTCCGCTCCACCAAGGGCCATGTCTGTAGAGCATGTTTCAAACCTGGGGCATTTCCGTGGGAAGATTTCGACATAACACGTTTGGGTGACAAGTGTGATCATGTAGTAATGCTTCTATGGTCAAGTTCTTAAAAGACAACAAGAACAACACTAACGACGACAATAATAATAATAATAATAATCAACAACCAGGTGTGTACATCCCATGCATTGTAGTGTCCTTATCACACAATATGTCAGCTGCCTCCTTACCCACGATTTGTTCTCCCATTAACTATAGTGGACACACACACACACACACACACACACACACATATACATATACACACTCACTACTACTACTACAAACTTTGCTGTCACTCGGAATCGACGATGACGATCATCCAGCTATGATACAACGATATGAGTTATAAAGTCTGTCACCAAGGTTGGTGAGTTTTAAGGTGACCAAAGAGGCCGATACGGGACCGGCAGAGTTGTTCACAGATGTTGCACATGTGGATGACTCCATGTAGTGCGGGAGCGGCGGCGGCAGTGTCTTTCCGGCGCTAGCGCTTGTCTGCCTCGGTTTACAGTCGGGCTAATTCGAAAGTATTGACACCTTCTTGTGTGGTGCTCCTCCAAGCGTTACGGTGTGAAGTGATCGTCTCCCAGGTGAAGGGGTCGATTTGGCACTTTTTCGGGTTTTTCTTAAGACTATCCTTATAACTTTTCAGTTGCGAGCCAGCGTTACGTTTACTATTCGTAAAATGACTTTAAAGTAACTGCTTTGGCAGTCTACAATCGTCCATGCGGGTAACATGGCCAATCCAACGCAGTTGTTCATGGATAATGGTAGCCTCGATGCTCCTACAGTTGGTGTCAGCGAGATTACTGGCATTTATTCTGTTGTCTTCCCAGCGAATTCAGAGGATGGAACGTAGAATACGTTGGTGAAAGTTTTCAAGTGCCTTGAGGTGCCTCCTGTATGCAACCTGTGTCTCACTGGCTTATAACAGGGTGGGGAGGACTACTGCTTGATATACGTGCAACTTTGCATATAATTTCAGCTCCCTGCAGCTGAAGACACGGTTACGAAGTCTGCCAAAGGCTTGAGAGCATATCTGATCTGATGTTGAATCGCTTCATCTATGTCCGCGGTGGTGGACAGGTGGGAACCAAGAGAATGAAAGTGGGTAACATTAGAGAGGGTAGTACCATTAAGCTGGATGGATGGTGGAGGTGTGGCTGAACCATGGGCAGGCTCAAAGAGAATTTGAGTTTTACGCACATTCACCTCAAGGCCGAAGTGTGCATACGCATCTCCGTAGGTGTTCAGGATCTCCAGTAGGTTGCGTTCAGTGTGAGCGACAAGGGTGAGGTCGTCTGCATACTGAAATTCCGGAATGGAAGCTGCCGACACCTTTGTTCCTGCCTGGAGTCGTCTTATTTTGAAAAGATCCTTCATGTGATACTCTATGTTCACCACGCCGGTGAAACTGGCACTAGCACGAGTAACGAAGGCGCCAGTACGAGTACACATCCTTGGTTTACCCCCGTTTAGATGAAGAAGAATTCGGACTCTGTGGCATTGTGCAGGACACTGCCGTTCATGTCGTCGTAGAGTTGCCTCACAATGGCAATGAATTTTGGGGGGGATCGGTGGTAGAAACGGTACCGTTCTTGCCTCGCAAGCGAGATGTACCGGGTTCGATTCCCGGGCCGGTGGAAGTTGTTTGGACTTACTTCCTAGCCCCCATTAGTCCCTGTTCACCTAGCAGTAAAGTAGGTACCTGGTGTAAGTCGAAAGTTGCGAATTCGTATTCAGGGACAAGTTGTTGGAGCTTCCAATAACTTGAGGACATAAACCACTTACTCTTCAGGCTTCTACGCCCTTGACTCTTCAGGCTTCTACGCCCTTAACTCATGAGACATAAAGGCAAGCATGAACTTAGCATGCTTCCCTGTTGGGCACTGTAAACGCTTCTGCGCTTCACCTTACACAATGATGTAGGGGAGTGCCCAATAAAAAAAAAAAAATGAATTTTGGTGCGCAGCCAAACCGGCTGAGGGCCCGCAAGAAAGCTTCCCAGATGACTGAGTCGAAGGCCTTGGTTAGGTCGATGAGGGCCATGTACAGGTCACGACGCTGTTCTCTACAGTTTTCCTGTATCTTGTGGGCAGAAAAGATGATGTTAGTGGTGCCACGTCATGGTCTAAAACCACACTGAGGTTCTGGGAGGAAGTTTTCCGTCTTAGGAAGAAGTCTATTTAGGAGGACTCGGGCGATAATCGTGCCAGCTATGAACAGTAGCGAGATCCCGCAGTAGTTGCTACAGTCAGACCAGTCTCCCTTGTTCTTATAAATATTGACGATGGAGGCGTCTTTAAGTGCTTGGGGATTTCCTCCTTTTCCTATATATTTTCCAGGAGAGAGCGGAGACGGCTAGTAAGCAGAGGTCCCCCCCCCTGCTTTATACACCTCGGCTGGGGCCCTAAGGCTTTGTTATTTTTCATCTGTTTGATGGCAGTAGCTACCTCATCCAGGGATGAAGGATAGCTGAGATGGGTCAGCTCTGAATGTTGAGGGACCTGTTGGGTAGCCAGGACATCCACATCGGTGTTTCGGCTGAGCAGCAAATGGTAGTGCTCTTTCTAGCGCTGACAGATGCCTTCTTTGTCTTTAATTAGGGAGTTACCGTTGGATGAGAGGAGGGGGGCTGTGCCAAGTTTTTGTGTTTCAGATGCTTTATTTTTAAACCAGACGTTCTTTAGTTTGCGAAGTTCGGGCTCGGCAGCCGCTTTCTTCTTTTCGAAGGTATCGGCTTTGGTCCTAGACTGAGGGTTGTTCTGCCAGTCAGTTAAAGCAGCACGTTTATCATCGATGGGTATATTGATTTCCGGGTCATTTTCATCAAACTAGTCCTTGTGTATTCCTTCAACCTGGCCGAGGGTCTCTCTGCAGGTTTTTGCCATGACAGTGTGGAGAATACTCCACTCGGCACTGGGATTTGGGTTGTTAGTTGTTAGGTTGTTTATCAGCCCAAGTTCGAGTTGCTCTCTGAAATCATGTGCTACTGCTGGATCCTCCAGATGCTTAGTGTTACAACTTCTCCTGGAGGCTTGTTGCCTTCACCGTTTTGGGGCGACGTGAAGTGAGAGCTTGGCTCTGACGAGCCGATGATCAGTGTCGAAATAGTCTGAACTACGCATTGCTCGGGTGATGAGGATATCTCGGCGATCTGCTTCTCTGACAATGATGTAGTCAATGAGATGCCAGTGTTTGGATCGTGGGTGTTGCCACGAACCATTGAACTTGTTGGCCTGCCTAAACAAGGTATTGATCATAGTGAGGTTGTGAGCAGCACACTTGCTGAAGAGGAGTAGGCCGTTAGGATTACACTTGCCTAATCCATTTCTCCCTATGATTCCCTGCCAAGTGTCAGCATCTCTGCCAACTTTGGCTTTGAAGTCACCAAGGCGCACAACCTTATCTTCTCTGGGGATAGAGGTTAGCAGTCTGTCAAGGTCAACATAAAAAGCCCTCCTTGATGTCATCCTCTGCATCCAGTGTTGGGGCATATGCACTGATGAAAAAGGCATGGCGTTAGTGTTTCAGTGGGACTCTGTAGGATGCGTTGGCGGATGGCAAAGCCAACTCCATAAATGCGGTTTCTCTCCGCAGAAATCTTACCCTTCCAGAAGAAGGTATAGACAGACCCCGTTCTGTGAGTCGACCCTCGTTTGTGAGCCGGGACACACACACACAACTTGAGTCGTAATACGTTTCCACCAGCAAATTGAATTGCCTAATTCCAATAGCGTATAATTAAGAACGGCTGAAACAACCTATAACAACATGAGAATACAAGCAATAAGTACCATAACAAGTTTAATGCAGGTATAACTACTTCGCACAAGGTCCAGCTGTTTTGTACATATTTCCAATTATTATCAACCTGAGCCAGTTTGTGCTCTCAGGTCTGTGTGTGTGTGTGCGTGCGGGGTAGGCAGTGGTTTCTCAGTGCCACTTCACCTCATTGCGTCACCGGTAATATTAACGATTTAACGACGCAGTCCCTACGACGCAGTTCCTCAGTTAACTCCGACAGGATCGTTTAATACCCTGTACCTACTACCAGCAGTATGGGGTTGAGTGTAAGTTAATGGTTCTTTAATTACCTTGTGATGAGACTATAATGATTTACACAAGTACAAGTCCAGATAGGTAGGTAGGTAGGTAGGACAGGATTCATTAGCAACCCGACCCACATTACTACACCACCTTGGTAACACTTAATACACCTCCTTGGTAACACAAAATACACAAACTAGTAACAACTACTACACTAACAGGTAACAGTTACAACACCACATTGGTAACAGTTACTACACCAACTGGTAACAAGAACTACACCAACAGGTAACAGTTACTACACTACCTTGGTAACAGTTACTACACCACCTGGTAACAATTACTACACCAACTGGTAACAGTTATAACAGCAACTGGTAACCGTTACTACACCAAAGGGTAACCGTTACTACACCAACGGGTAACAGTTACTACACTATATGGTAACAGATACTACCCCATCTGGTAACAGTTACTACACCACCTGACAAGTTACTACACCAACTGGTAACCGTTACTACACCAACGGGTAACCGCTACTACA